TAAATGAGAAGATCAGCCCCATGCATATCACATGTTCAAGCTGTGGGTGTGACAACACCAACAAGACACAGTTTTGGGGCACTGGAGCACAACCACAACAACAACTCAGTGGAGGAAAGGGAAGTGTACAACCTATCAAAGGAGGGAACTTGTCATACTAATGTTGGTATACACTAGAAGAGGACTCGCTGAGTCCCTCCCCATGGATTGCCCCATTATATATACTAAAATACATGAGGTACTGTACAGTTGTAAATAAAGTTTAAAGCCCGATGTCTAGCATGTGACTGGCCACAAGTCTAGACACTGGTCAGATGATGTGTTGCATGATTGGTCATGTGACTATGAAAAGTCCGCTGTAAAGTAAAGTAAACGGTCACATGATCAGTTATGTGACTTGGGAAATGAAAAGTAAAAGTACAAAAAGTGAAGTGTAAGTAGGTGCTGGTATGCCAATTGTAACAGTGGGAATGTCCAATGAATATGACTTGGATCTGAAGAGACCACAGATGATGGTAGTTCCGAGTTGGATCAGTGTTGGCACAGTTTTCCAACCCATACAACAACCAGCAGGTTCAATGTTGAATGTCGAACAGTTGGACTACACTTTAAACACTGGAAATTGCTTACATATTTTGGCACTATTTCTATTTATTGTAGTACTACACAGCTAGGATCACCATAATAGTTAAGCTAGTTTCAATTTTTGGATTTTTTTTTGTGCTGCATCACGGTAGCAATACCTACTTATGCTTCACTTTTTTGTACTCTCACTTTTACTTTTTCCAAGTCACATGACCAGTCATGTGACCATTTACTTTACTTTACATTTTCGACTTTTCATAGTCACATGACCAAGTCATGTGCCACAACACCTGACCAGTGTCTAGACTTAGCATGTGACCGGTCACATGCTAGACATCGGACTTTAAATTCTATTTATAACTGTACAGTACCTCATGTATTTTAGTATATATACAGGAGCAATACATGGGGAAGGACTCAGCGAGTCCTCCTATTGTCTACCAACAACTAACTTGTTAAAACCTAATGGGTAACCACTCTCACCTCTTCCTCTTCTTTTGAGTGTTGTTTTCATTGTGCTCCAGTGCCCCAAGACTGTGTCTTGTTGGTGTTGTCACAGTAGAATTCTTTGAATTTCTCAAGGACTGACTCGGACCGCCTGGTCTATTCCTTCTCAGCCCATGTCTCACACTCTGCATCTCTTGCCTTGAGTTGCCTTGATTAGATCTCCCTTCAACTTCAGTTACTTCTGCTGTATAGCAACACTTTGCTACACAAGGTGGTTGGATATGTGTGGGGATTCCGGGTGTTTTTGGTAAGCATGGTTTATTACTGTCCTGTAAGTGTAATTTTAGCTAAGAGAACTACATAGATATTACAATCTTACCTCTAGTTTGTTTCTATCTGAGTCCTTGCTTAACATTGTAGCTGCTGATTGTTCAGCTTTGTTCTTCCTAGTGTGATCCTCCTGCATCATTTCTTCAAGGTTGTTTCTGAAGTCAGAATTATATTCAATTTCAGCATCCTCACCCAGGACATCAGAGACCAAAAAATGATGAAGTTGGTTGTTGGGAATACCAACAAGAGTTTGATGAGTAAAGTTTTGTTCTGAAATCCCAGCAACAAGAAAGTCACAAGCAACAATTTCACTGGGGGTAAGTTCACAATGCATAGTTGGATACAAGGAACAGCTAATGACAATATGCTAGTTTGAAAATATGCATACTTCATCCCATCAAGCCCTGACACCAACATTACTCCACTGCGTCCAAATGAAGATCTTGACAGATGACTTACCTTCAGCTTTATGTTGATTCGGACTTGTATGGCCCAATAATTTGGAGGATAATATTATGCACCCCTACATGCATTGATATGCCCTTTTTTGCACTGTGTATACAACCCTACCCATTGCTAACTTACCATGATGAATGTGAACCAGCTCTACTATTGCAGCTGTGGACAAATGTTTTCCCAAGAAAATGATCTCTCATACCACTGCAAAAACTGCAAGTCCAGCAAACACAAAGTTATAGATATTCTCAACAAGGCTCGGGAGGCAGTTGCAAGGAAGAAATCAGCAATACAGAGTGTTGCAGCTGATGGTGTTGAATTAGACTCATCAAGCATCATGCAGGATGTCAATAGTGTATGTTTTTGTATTTGGCACTTTGATGACCTACTAATATATTTCTATTCCTATAAGGTTATTGATGACGAGACTATCATTGACTCAGACCAGAATATGGCACTTTCACAGTGTTGCACAAGACAAGTAAATCATAGATTTTCAAAGCGGTTTCAAGGCCTGTTGCCACAGCTATATGCTTCTTTGCTGCCTTCAAAACTTCCAAACACATCTACGTATACATCAGATCTGTCTTCTGTTTTTCAAACTCAAGCTTTGCCTCAAACAACTATTCAACCATGCTCAACAGGACAGAATTTTTGTCAGTCAATGAAGAACAAATTTAGTTGTATTGAGAAGTACAACTACGGCTTTCCTTCATATGATCCAGATGAACTTCAGTCTCTAGAGGATTCCTGCATGTCCGGTAATGGCAACACAAACTACTCAAAGACTCTAGATGGCTGTGTTTATCCATATTATCCCTATCCAAACCACAGCACTTTCCTCTTGGGAGACTGGTACTGAAATCATGGTACCCAAAAATCACAAGAGACATTTCAAAAGCTATGCAAGATTATCACAATGCAAGATTTTTCACCAGCAGACATTTGGGCAACTAATTGGCAAAAAATTGCACTTGTTGAAGGGAGTAGTGGACCTGAGAGCTCCAATAGAGAGGATGAGTGGAAGAGTGTGTCTGTGAAAATATTGGTGCCTTTCCATAATAAAATGGACATGCTAGGGCCACAAGATTTTGTTGTCGCTAATTTCCACTATCACAAGATACTCTTGATTGTTCATGAACAACTCTCTGATCCTCAAGATGGGCCTCAATACCATTTTTCTCCTTATGCGCTCTGGTGGCAGCCAAACCACCAAGAAGAGTCACATATATATGGCGAGCTCTGTACGTCACCCACCTTCATCAATGCATATCAGGAATTTCAGGAGTCACCCAGAAAGTCAGGTTGTGAACTGGGATGATACATATTTGGCCTGACGTTTTGGTCAGATGACACACATCTCACAACTTCTGCAAATACCAAGTTATGGCCATTGTACATGTTTTTTGGGAATGAATCAAAGTATCGGCGGTGCAAACCAAACAACTATTCATGCAACCAAGTTGCATATTTTCAGGTAGTATGTGACTATGTCTTCTTGCTCTTTGTTTTGAACTCACATTCTGGATAGTTACTGGACTCATTCAAGGACTTTGTGAACAATCATACTGGGAAAAAGAGTATAAGCGCAAGTTTTATGACCCACTGCCATTGTGAGTTCACACATGCGCAGTGGACTGTACTTATGGATGGAGAAATGGTAGGAGCATGCAAGCACAGTATTGTCATAAAGTGCTTTGATGACATTGGGTGCCGGTTTTATATCCACATCTTCACTTATTCCGTAGACTACCCAGAGAAGCAAGTTTTTTCTCATTATTATTCTGGGTTCCATTTATTGGTAACATGGTGTATTTCTCATAGGATTCTGCTAATAAATATCCAAAACCTAAGCAGGTGCCCATGCCCAAGGTGTCTAATTCCAATGGAGCATATTGGGAACTTGGGAACACCTCAAGGCATGAGACAACATAGGGCACTAGCTTGTACCACTAATGCTGCACATCAGGCAATTATGCTGTTAATAGTGCCTTTGTTGAAAGGATACTCAAAGGAGAGTCATTAGTACCCACACAAGTAAGTTTACATTAATATTTGCTTCTTGTTATTGATGATAGTAAACAACTACAGCAGAATTACCAAGTGACAACACCAGGAAACTGAAGCCATTCAACATCAATACATACAAGATATATGTAATTGACGACTATGCTACAACAATTTGAAGGCTAGGAACCACAGATTCCCACACAACTCAAATAGTCAGTAGCAGTTTTTTATTCATTCGGATGTTTTCAACGTCGTTTTATTTGAGACTCATTCAAATGTTACTAGGGTGAACTTGAACATTGGAATCCAAAAGCTTCTTATACACAAACAAGCAAAAAGTTTTTCACAAAACAAATAGCAAGAATTGATCGTTGCCAAGCCCATATCCGCCAAATACAAAATAAAATATATGGATCGCAATGACAACAAGATCCAGATGATGCTGCGGTGTCACCTAGTTCCCATCACTCTATTGGAATATCTCAGAATCATTCTGTCAATATTGACATCTTCTTACGTAGTAGACTTTATAATCCAGCTATCAAGGTCAACTCATCCTATTTTTTTAAGTATAATTAATTGATGCTGTTTGCTTTTTTCACTCAGGGATTCCTACCAAAGCTCAAGAGTCATGTTTTTCCACGGTTAAAAAAAACTGATAATGTCAGAACTTGAATCTGTGGGCCCGTCACCAGACACTGGCCCCAATACTCAGTAAGACAGCTAGCAAATGTTGTTCAAGAACAATTGTATATATAGCCATAGAACCATCCGAGTAAACTACACCACATATGATATCTGGCGTAGGCTGTGACAACACCAACAAGACACAGACTTGAGGCACTGGAGCACAACAAAAACAACACTCAAAAGAGTAATGAGAAGGAGGGATTTTCCCTCAAGGTGCGATTGAGTTAGTGGTAGACAACAGGAGGACTCGCTGGGTCCTTCCCCATATATTGCTCCTGTATATATACTGAAATACATGAGGTACTGTACAGGTGTAAATAAAGTTTAAAGTCCGATGTTTAGCATGTGACCAATTACATGTGAACCTAGACAATGGTCAGGTGATGTGTCACATGACTGGTCATGTCAACTGAAACTCGTTGCATAATAATGTGATGGTTCTTTGGGAAGCTCACACAATTCACAGGTTCGTTGACTGCAATATGTTCATGTGGTATCATTGGGGTTTGGCTCCAGGCCATGTATATGCACACAACACGCCGCTAGACAATGGGGAACAGTTTTCTCATGCTGCTGAACTGCCACCTATGGAGGAGGAAAATGGACTGGCAGATGGCAATAGAGAAACCGATATTACTAGAGAAGATGACAGCGGCTCTGTAGCTTCTGACATTGAGGATGGTTCACACGAAGATGCTATAGACATTTTAGAGCAGTCTGGAGTACTAGATTTGGATGCCAGCAATTTCAGCGACAATGACTACTTGGTAATTAATGCTGAGCTTTTGGATATGTATGGCCAAAACTTGGAGGATTATGGCCACTATGATTGACAATTGCCTTATGTGCACACACTTTGGGTCTAGACTATGCTTTATTGACCGTGCAAGTTATTACAATGATTCTTGAATATTAATCTCTCCGAGGCTTAAGCTTAAGAATCTCGACCTGTTCATTTTATGAGGTGGCTGATCAACACTTCTTGTAAGACATGCTAACCAAAGGCAAGGGTGGCAAAGTGAACTGAAAGAAACCAATATTGAATGATTAGAAGATTGATGCAATCACTCTGATATGTTTTGCTGATGGAACATTGTAATAACATAAGCTCATTCCTAACTCTTGCCAATGATGCTAAGAGTAGATATTCCCTTATAATTGAACATGATACTGAGGTTTGGTTATACACTCTGCCTGGTTATATCAGGTCCTTACTGTTTTTCTGATGCTCAAACCTGACATTAGTCCATCGTTCCAACTCGATCAGACACAAGACAAGGTCAAACCTGTGGCTCTGCCACTGTGGTGCAATGATAAATAATAATAATAATAATACTGTTAAGTGATCAAAATGTTATGTCAGTGAACTTGTGCTGTCTGTAAAGTATGTTAAGTCTTTAAATACTATGATGCAAGTTTGACTTGCTGTTCCATCATTGAATATTCTTATAAGCCTGCCCTAAACTTGTGCACAGTATTACATAGATAAATTGATGAGAAATAAAAAAAGAGACTCCAGAAATGGTAAAGAATCATAATATGATCTGATAACAACACACTTTAGTAAAAAAGGTAAGAATTTGGGAAAAACTTACTTGACAGTGACAGATAAAGCCAGTCAGAATTTCAGAATACACCACATTGATAGCACATCTGTTATTTAAACCATGCAGAAGTAGCACTTTTATTCTCTCTCCTGAAGCACAGCAAGACAGTACAACATAATAATAAAACTAAGTGAATCTCAGCCGCTGCCCGAGAGGCTATAGAAACAACTTTATTATTTACCTAAGTGAAACTACAATAGATGTTAGTTCAAGGTGATCTCTAATAAATGTAATGTAACATACCTCAGCCGCTGCCCGAGAGGCTATAGAAACGACTAAGGTATTCCTATACTAAACCCCCTACTACTTATAGTCGGAGGTGCTACTTGCTACAGTATAATGACTCCTAGGAGTACAATTGTGCTCCTAGGAGAACAATGGTTACTCCATGGAGTGGTGGCTATGCTCCATGGAGAACAATAGCTGCTTTGGCAGAGACCGGGTTTATCCAGTTTTGTCACATAAACCATGTGAAAACACTGTAACATGTAAATCCAGCCCAACTATGTGACTGATTGTCCTTGTGATTTGTTGATGATCATGGATGGCAAAGGCAACACAGACAAGGAATCGACGATGTGATAGCTTGATGGACAATTCTTCTGACAAAGGTTCTAATGTGAGGCTTGGAATAAAAGCTATTATTCCTGCATATTTTCCTCCCAAGACACAGCACTTCAGTACTCTTCCTTTCATCTGCATAAAAATCATGTGTGTCCCATTACAGAGTTCATTTAGAGGATCAATATTGTGGAGAAGCATAAGCAGACATCCAGCTTTAAGTATGAGGTGTACTCCAGGAAGGCCAGATACTTGCAAGGAATTCAAGAATTCCACAGGATAATGTTCATGCCCCTCTCCAACCACTTTATCAATTTACAGAGCTACTAACTCTTTCCCGGGGATTTTTTGAGGATTCCTGAATTAAGATTGCTAACGGCATTATTTTTTGTGGAGAGGATAGTGTGGTGGAGGAAATAATGGTCATATTTGTCTCCATTTGCAAGTCCAGAACAGGTAGTGTCAACTAATGAGCCCATGGTGACTTCTGGCATAAGCATGTTGGTTGAAGGCTCAAGAGTTCCATCTCTTGCAATTCTATGACCACCACCAACATCCAGGAGCCAGCTAGCAAGGCTTCACTTTTTGGAGTACTATCCAGGCACATGTTCTGTGTGAGATAGCATACATGGGTATTTGTCCACAGTTGTGACCTTATAGAAGAGGCAGAAATAATATGTTATCTTAACCCTTTTGGAAAAACAGGTGTTGTTTGGCGGAAGTTCCCTCCAACAACCATTGTAATGCCTTCAAATGGAAGCTGATTATCCAAAATATTCCACAATGTACAATCCAACACTTCAATGCCATGATAATGTTGCATCAGTGCTTCATCCCCAATATTTACTCTGGTATGTCTCAAAAGCTCATGGAGGTCAGAGTTTTTTGGAATCCTGTATATGGATGTTTTATTTACAGGAATGGGGATTCCAAGGCATAAATGAGTTGTGTGGTCCCCCTCCAAGAGCAGGGATGCAATCCCAGAGGATGCTACACATAGAGCAACATTATAATTATCCCTTGCTCAAATAACAGTAGTAATTGTATTATAGAGATGTTTTTCCCCTTCCGGTACCTCTAGCACTATGAACAAAGCAAGTTATTCCCTAATTATGATGAATTGACTGTATGATGGTATCAAAAGCATTCTGCTGCTCTTGACTGAGCTGCTCTACATTATTTTTTACCTCCAAAGTAAGATTAAATCTGTCATAATTTTGCTGTTCATGGAGAAAATTGTTTGCAATAATAGGCTCCTGTTGTTGCTGAGGAAAAAAGTTTGGAGTAAAGTTTGGACAATACTTATTGGATCGAGTAAATATGGATTCTAGCAAGAATAGCCAGTAGTTATAAATTTGGTCTTCTGAAGGTTGGACAATTTCTCTTTGAGTAATAATAATACAATTAAGTGCTCAAAGTTTTGCCAAGTTAGAAGTCAGTGAACTTGTGCTATCTGTAAAGTATTGTTAAGTCCTATATGCTTGTTTAACTTGCTGCTCAGGTGTGGAATATTCTTATAACCATGAGAGTTTTTAATGTGGCTACAATTTTCACTGTGTTCACTACTACTGCACTGCTGCTGTTCTTGTGTTGCCACAAAAACCATGCCAGTGGACATAAGCAAAATAACCAACACAATGTGGCTTGTACGTGGCTTTTGGGTCCACTGTCCCCTTTGTTTTAGATAACAAAATGTAGTGTGATTGTGCTGCACTCTTTTATCTTGTATCTTGTGCATTAATGGCCTCTATTCACCCTTGTAAAGGATTTTATTGTGACTATTTCATTCAATCATTGAATGCAGAAACACACAACAGAAAGTCTCTACCACAAAAAATATTGCAACTGAATCTTTCCAAATTGACACAAAACACAACCAGAGAATATGTTATTGCATTGGGACGGCAGCTAAGCTACCAGGACAACCAGGACCATCTTTACCTGCAAGGTGTCAAAGAAAGCGCAAACAAGTTGGATTTAAAGATAACCTGGGGGCAAAGGTGATTCTGAAGCTAGAGATGGTGGTAGTAACATGCACGGGGATACAGAAGTGCATACTATTACTATTTCATTCTATTGTGTGAATATTTAACTCATTTCTATGTTTTAACTAGCGTGTACACAACAATCAGGCCCAAAAAGACACAACATCAAATCAAAATCACCCCGAGTCATCTTAAAGCACTCTTCCTGCTCAAGGTCCAGCACAAGAACCCCAAGAAACTTGTTTGGTTGTGCAAGGACTTGATGGAAGCAACCTCAAAAGGCTTTCTAGCCTTAAAAAACTAGACAACATCAAAATGGCCATGTCCTTTATCAACACAATCAAGAATGAGACACTTGACAATAGCCAAACAAACAAGGATCCAAAGGCAATACAATGTCTGTTACATTCCCCCGAAGCTCCATGCAAACTCAAAGGCCCAGAGGAATACTTCACAATCAAGCTGTTTCTAGTGACAACAAACGCACCAGAAGATATCTACAATAAAGTCTGGGATACTTACAATCACAGGCATCCTCATAATGAGGATCAAGTCCCCTCATATTATCACATCAAACTTTGCATAGCTGAACTCACAGGCATCAAGTCCATAATCCACAACATGTGTCCTAATTCATGTATTACTTATACAGGGCCCTTTGCCAATTTTGATAAATGTCGGAAATGCTCCACATCCTGTGATAATCAACAAATTCTCAAAAAAGGAAAAAGACTTGTGTCAACCCAACAGTTCCATACCATGCCCATTGGACACCAGATACAGGCACTTTGGCGGGATAAAAAAAATGCGGAAAATATGCGACATCATGAAAAAGCAACCACAAAAATTGTCAAAAAAATCCAATGCAGTGGTGGCAATTTTCTCAATGAATATAACAATTTTTTCACTGGGAGTGACTACATTGATGCTGTGCAAGACAGCCACATTCAATCTGAGGACACAGTCTTGATGTTCTCCATGGACGGCACTTAGCTATATGAAAGAAAGTCCAAAAAACCAGCCAATATTGATTCACTCCTGTTTCCAGGCCTCTATCACTTATCAGCAATCCAAAAACAAGGTCTTTGCGTGTGGGATGCAACTCAAAGCCACATATTTACCTCAAGGCCTTTCTGTGAGGTAACAATAAACTATAACAAAAACAATACCCGTCTCCAACTGCACTTGCAGGGAGTAAGAGGTACAGTGAGTCTTGAAGATTGACAGATGCTAGTGAATATAGCAAGTAGAGGATATGGGAGTAGACTCAGGGGTTTCTGATAAGGAGTAAAGCAGATAATTCAAGTAATAGAAAACTAAGGAACAATACATGAATAGTTAAGGCTTTATATAGCTAACTTTCTATCCCTCAGACCAAAAGAGGAATAAGAGGAAAGTGGTCTGAGGGGAAATCAACCAATAAGAAAAATGACAACTATTGTATGACTTTGAAGGTTAATCAGCAGGTGAGAAAGTGTACTAATAATAAGTGTTGTCACACATGTCCAGGAACTGTATCCTCATGATGAGGTACAATCCTGACTAAAGTGTCTATTAGTATTTCCAGGCACTGATGGGGCTTGAAGCTGGTTGGCGAGATGCTTACCACCAGTCCTTACCCATTGTGCTGGCTGGCTGGGAGCAATACCCAGTCTCTGATCCGCGATACAAAGTGGTAAC